GGACGCTTAACCGACTGCGCCACCCAGGCGCCCCAAGGCAGGAGTCTTAACAGACTCACCTGACCATACACAGGAGGCAGGCCAGGCCAAGGCTCCTTCAGCCACATTTCAGAGGCTTCCTGAGGGAGCAGGCTCTTCCAGAAGGAAAATTTTCCCCTTCCTGGAAAGGTGATCTTTTCTGTTAGATGTTGGAGGCTCAGCTCAGTGCCTGTTAGAACCTGCAGGCCTACTCTGTACTGGGCAGGGAGAATGCCCTGAGGGCTCACTGAGGAAGTAGTGTGGATAAGGATCCAGGCCAAGGGTTCAGGGCCCGCCTGCTCCCTGTCCTGGGTGTTAGAACCTTCTCTGAGTAACTGTTGTCGGGGAGGCCAGAGACTGTCTAGCTCTCCATACCAGGTTCAGACAGAGCAGGCTCTGCAGAATTCATTGAAATGGTCCCCCACAGCAACTAAAAATTCCAAGGTTTTCTCCAGAAGACACTTGACCTCACTTTATTACATTCCCTCCTTCCCGACTCAAGTCATTTTTTTCAGACATTCACCAGTGCCAAATGCTGGAAGTTTAAGTGCTCCAGGGGGAGGGCAGACCACACTCCGACCTCTTTACCTAGCTTCACCCCCCTCCATTCCCAACCTTGGGTTAATACTGACACTCTACATTTCAGTGACGTTTGCTTTGACCTTGTCCCCCACGACAGTTAAACAGCCAAGAAACCTGCATGAGGAATAGCAGAATAAAACCCGTGTTCTTCAACTCTGGGGGGTAGGCAGGCCGGCTACTCAGTGTGGGGTGAAAGTGAATTTTTTTACTGCAAGCTTCCCCCGCCCCAACTTGGAGAATGGGGAGGGAAGCAAGGCAAAGGAGGAGGGAAAGGAAAGGAAGAGGGAGGGCAGGGAGACAGGGGAAGAGACAGCAGGGAGGAGGAGCTGCCCCAGAGTGAGGGGAGTAACAGGCTTTCTGGAAGGCGAGCCAATAAATGACTGGTTCTCTCCCGTCTTGAGCAGCTTGGAACTACAAGGGAGATTTCTAGCAAAACTTCAGGTCTTGGTGCAGCTTTCTTGAGAGAGGAATACATGTCAAAGTCTGCAACTGTAAAAATTAATTTCCACTTTTAAATAACCCCTTTCTCCCACCCACCTTCTATTTCTCCTGGGCCAGATAGGGGAAATAATATCAAGCCTATCTTGCCAGCCAGCGGATTTGAGTTGAATTAAGAGTAATGCCAAAGCTGCAACAGGTCAGCTCCCTAGACCTTCCTCCTGCCCTGCCCCACGGGTACAGTGACCTCCAGGAGAGGAGGAGGGTTGGAGCTTGCACACTACAGAGGAGGTCCAATGTCCCACGACCACTGCCTAGTAGGGGAGGATCCATTTCCAGCCATCATAGTCACTTTCAGGCCTCCTACAAATGTTTCACCCTAATCTCGGTCCAGGAACCAGACACTTACAGATGCCCCTACAACTTGGGACAGACTCTGTCAAGGGCAGGAGCCACCATCAGTTAGTCCACCCAGAAGTTTCCACAAATGTCACCATCTACCCTCAAGAAAAGTGCTCACCCGGCAACTGGAGAGGCAGGGGACAGGTTGGAGTCCTGCTGTTTGTTCCTAAGGATGAACTAACCTTGACCTTGGCTGCTCACCCAAACTCACTGCCTTGACCTGAGCCTGCAGTTCAGGTCCTCCCCATCTCCTGTCATCCCATTGGGCACCCTCAGCCTCCAGCCCTTCGGGGTTAAGGGCCCTAATTACACTCAGAAATGAGGTGTGTATGCTCTCCTGAGTGCACACACACTTCCGTTCAGGATAGTGGAGCCCTTCTGGAGAAAAACAGTGATTAAGGATGGGATGCATCATCCCTTAGACTTGGAGGTAAAACGTCATGGTAGAGAGTCTCTCCTCCAAAGAAAAGCATCCTCCACTGTGGAAGGTTCTGCAACTGGGGCGCGGCAAACCCCTCCCGGTAACCACGCAGCCCAGAAGGCCACACTCACTTCTCTGCCGTCTACACGTGCACCGAGGCACAGTACCTTAAATCCCGGTTCCCTTCCTCCTCCCTTCAGCAAGTTCCCAAGCCGCCCCTGCCGAGCTGGCGGGAGCTCAAAGAACACACAAAACATCTTTCAATCCGAAGACAACGTGCTTCCCTCAACCGCAACAGGTCGTGCCTCCCAGAAGAAAACGAATTTCCCAAAACGCATTTTCTAGATTGTCTAAAAAAACACGCGTTTGAAAGTATGCGTGACCTTCCCGGCCGGAATGATTTTGCTTTAGCATGAGAGAGAGAGAGAGAGAGAGAGAGCCCTGCAGGAAACCCTCCGTCCAGGTGTAGCTGAGCTCCTGGACCGGGAGGAAAGAAGAGGCAGGCGCTTTACCGTGGAGCGGGGCCGAGGCGGCTGGCTGTTCGTTTAAGCACAGGAGCAGGAGGACGGCGGCGGCGTGCAGGCTGCGGGGCATCGCTGGCTGTCGGGGCGCGGCGGGGGCGCAGCCTGGGCTCCCGCTCCGTCCCCTCCCGGGCTCTCCGCGCTGGGAACCGCGTGCGCGAAGCCCCGCCGCCTTGCGAGCACGTCTGCTCTTCAGGCTTCGGGCTCCGGGCTCCCCGCGGGCTGCTTTTAAGGAGCGACGCAGCCCCAAACACATGATGTCATCGTGCGGGGGGGGG